GCCTGCCGAAGGGAGGCAGGGGCTGCAGCTGCAGCTCCTGCTCGAGTACGTAAGAAACAAGCTATTTTGGGCCTTTTCCGCATCCCTGTTTCCGTGCCTGAGTCTTAGGAGCAGGTCGAAACAATGAGGGCCTGAAATTGGCCCTCCGTTTCAGGCTGAAAACTCTTGGTCTGAAAAGACCCAGAAATAGGCTGAAACGAGGTAGGGCCTGCAGGCCCTCGTTTTTTCAGCATCCAGGCTGAAATGAACGGGGCCTGTAAGCCCTAAGTTTAAGGCTTTTAGGCTGAATGTCCGGGACGGGCCCTGTAGGGCCCGTGTGGCTACGCAGTATGCCACACCCCCCCCTCCTTGAAGAACCGAGCTTACCTGCGAGGGCGAAGCTGTCTGTCTGAGGGAGGGACCACAGTCCGGGTGGGAGGGGCTGGTCGTGAAGCTTCCTAAGCTAACCTGCGCTTTTCATAATGCGCGTAGATCAGCGGTGCGGATGCTTTCAAATTTGCGCCTGATATCCATTGAGTGTCGTCGCGATCGCATGCTTTGAATGTGACTTTATACTGCCGCGGCTTGCTGCCGTACTTGTGATCCGAGATGACGCGGTCAACTTCCTGATGGTCATTCATAGAAGGAGGGTCTTGCGATCGTCGGTCCGGAAAGTCTTCGCTCTTGGCTGGCGTGTAAGTTGCCAGCTTCGAGGCGTGGAAGACCGGATGGACCGTCAGATGCTCTTGAATGTTGATCACAAATGAAGGGCCATCGGGCTCRTCGCCCGCGGCTGCTRTCACAGACCAAGGTCCAAACCACTTGGGAAGCAGTTTGCGTGAAACATCTTGTTCCAGTGCAAACTCTTCCGCGGAGACCCAAACCAGATCACCGGCGCGGATGGGACATGGTACGCGACGCCTGCTGGCTTGCTGCTGCATGCAGACTTGAGCCTTTTGCGTATTTGCGCGGGCTTGAGTCAGCAATTCCCTGTACTTCTAGACGGAAGAGGGAGAGCAAGCAGCGTCAATGTCGGCTGGTCGAGGGAGGAGAAGGTCAGCAAAGATCCGACCTTTCCGTCCACCATGGTGCAACTCGAATGGAGTCACGCCGATCGCYGGATGCACCGAAGTGTTGTAGGCAAACTTGACGTCGGGGAGGCGGTCAACCCAATCTTTCTGGTCCGAACAGATGAGCGTACGAAGCATCATTTGAGCGGTCTGATGTGCCCGCTGCGTCTGCCCGTCTGTCTCACGGTGTCGAGCCGAACTTGGTTTCATTGTTGTGCCGGACTCCTGCATGAGAGCAGTCCAAAACGCCGACATGAAACGAGTGTCGCGGTCGCTGACAATGTCTTC